TGGTAAGGAAAGGAATTTTATCTTCATAAAAAAGACTGGCGTATAATAAATTTTGTGACTCCTACAACTCCTTGAAACTGAGACTCCCTTTAAAACTATATCTTCTCTCGTCCATGTCTCTTAGTCCACACTGTACATGTTATCAGTCACTCACAGACTTAGAACAGTTTGCTTTGTCTATAACTTCTAAATGTCATCTCCAGTTTTCTTTATCTAAAATTTCCATGGATGTACAATTCTGAAACTTAGTACAGAAAAATTAAACATTCTGTACCTCTTGAAGAAATGTGTTCTTTCTTCACACTCAGTTCCAGATATTGGTTAAGACAATTGAAGGGTTGCTTTCTGCCTTCTAGGTGAGCATAAAGTGACCCTCTGACACCTTTCCCTCCTCTCACTAGACTATAAAAATATAACTTATCACAAAATTCTACTAATACTATATTTTTACATTCTCTTGAGTACCTTGCCTATTTTTTTTATTCTTAATGCTTTTATCAAGTTCTTTGTCAATTTGTGTTTAAATTATTATAACCTCAGGATTGATAACTATTTTATCTGTGGTTATTTTAGTTATTCACTGATGTGTTAACAAAGCAACAAAACAACAGACAAAAAAAAGAAAACCCTCCAAATGTCAGAGGCTTCAAAAAGCAAGTATTTCATCTCACCATTAGTATGTCCAAAATATGAGCAATTCTTCTCTGGCTTCCTCTGGGGTCACTCTGGAGTTACCGGATGATATTAAACCGGTTATTGAGTTGATCTGGAGTGTCTAAGATTACTTCTCCCATATGCTTGAATTTTGGCATGGACTCTCAGAAAAATAAGTTCATCTGGGCAAGTCTCCCTCCAGAGGTCAATTACGGGTCTCTAAACAGTTTCACTAGGAGAGTGGACTTCTGACCATGCAGCCTGAAGTTGCCCTTCCTCTTACAGGCAAGACTCAGAACACGTGATATTGCAGCATTTACCGTATTCTATTGATCCTAGGTAGTTAGCAACTACAGCAGACTCAAGTGGAAGGGGACAGATAACATCCATCCTCTCACTGCAGGAATGTCAAAAATGCACCACCATCTTTAATCCACCAGTCTTCCCTGTGGCCATAAAGACTCTGCACCTATCTTTCATCTGACATTTCTGATTTATCTTACAATTTTCATGTCATTTTACAGAAATTCTGCCATGAAAGTCTCCTTCCTGAAGCACAAGGCTGATATTCCATTATGGGAAAACCATAATTACTATTCTGAACCCCCACTCTTACTATACATATTTACTTGTCTCCTTAGTTTGCTGTTGCCCCTTACTATTCCTTTTCTGTTTTGGATCATATTGCAAGCTTCCTGATTCAAGCACATGATAAATGGCAGTCTGCTTTAACACTGTCATCAGAAGAAAGACTTTATCTCATGGAGTTAATAATGTTATATCAATTACGATACTTTCTGTTACAAGATATAGGAAGCTCTATTCAACCACCTTATAAAGTAAAAGAAAAATATTCTTTAGTTCACCAAATAAAAATCTCAAAGGTATTATGGTTTGAGGCATCCAGTCATCAAGTGGCCTGGAGGTTTCTTTTCCTCCTGTTCTTCCCTCAGCCCTGTGTTGATTCATCTCTCCTTTGGTGATAAGTTGGTAGTAACGGTTTACCTCTTGAAATTTGGGTCAAAATTGCAACACAGATCTATGCCCATATAAATAACTGTTAAAGGATATGAGACTTAAGTGACTGGCTCACACAGATAAAGATGTGCCTCTGAGTCTGTGGGAGGAGAGCAAGTGAACACACCGTTAGGTGGCTAGGCAGATATGAACAGGACAGGGAATGGATGCAGTTAGGTTGTTTTCGATGGGTCTGGGTCAGGCTGACCTGGGCTATTATGGGAATGAGGCTGATTAACACCCTGCAGGTGGGTTGTTAGTAAAACCTTGCAGGTGTGGCCAGGCACAGGTGGCTCAGGCCTGTAATCCTAGCGCTCTGAGGCCAAGGTGAGGTGGCCTTTAGCCATTGATCTAAGGAGTTCATGGCTAGCCTGAGCAAGAGCGAGTTCTGTTTCTACAAAAAAAAAATAGAAAAATGAGAAGGTCATTGTGGGGGGCATCTATAGTCCCAACTACTCAGGAAGCTGAGGCAGGAGGATTGCTTGAACCCAGGAGTTTGACGTTGCTGTGAGCTAGGCTGACACTACTGCATTCTAGTCTGGGTGACAAAGTGAGACTCTGTCTCAAAAAAAAAAAAAGACTTTGCAGGTGGCCTGTTTTGAGACCAGAGTTAATTAAGACCCCGGGGGACTTCCAAGAAGGAGCTGATGTTCCTCACAGTCTATGTAAAACCCAAAGGCTGCACTTTCCATAGGGCCTGCAGTCACTAGGAGGGGGGCCTGGCTTGCTGTGCAGGTTATTAATGAATATTGTCTTTTTCTTACTAAAACCTTACTTGTTTTCTTCAATTATTTTGGGACTATCTGGAGCCACCCTGCCACTCTAATATTTTGGTGAGCTCACCAGGAAGAGGTATGTTTCCATGATTCACTTTCACTTTTAACTCCTTCTTCTATTACTGAAGCAGTGCAGGTGGTTGTGTGGGAGGGCCTTCCAGAGAGTCATCTGTTCTGTTTTACAGCAGCTTAGACAGGGGTCATGGTATGAGTGAGAATCCGTCCGAAGCCAGTCTCTTTGATACAAAATAAGCATTATTATAATCATCTCACTTTAGAGTGCTTAGCAAATATCCAGCATATATATAAACTATAAAATACTTTATCTTTTTCTTTCCTTATGTACCAAGTTTCTGTCCTCTGTATGTTATTTGAGGACAGGTCGTGAGAAATCTGACATAGCTCAGGGCTTGAACGTTTTGGGTGCTGAGATATTCTGTGACTTGCGATCATGTTTTTACAACACTTTCAATGTCTTTGAACACCATTTATTCTTCTGATAGGCATATTGGTTTGTTCAGAATCTTCTGTTCCATTGATCACTACCTTCTGCTTATTCATTTAATCCTAGACAGCAGAAAAATATTGATCTTTTGCTTGGACTTTTATC